CAGTGGATCTTCTCTGCCCCAGGTAATGGCGTTCTAATTTTCCTGGGCATTTTGACATTAGTTGTTGGGGGCTGCTTTTGTAATGCTTGTTCCAGGCTGTGGAGCTGGGGCAGATTTTGTGTACTCTTATTCTTTTTAGATCAAGTTTTGGGGGGACTTGTTTTTATTTGTAGTGTTATGCCAATTGTGGTTTATACTGATTTGAGTTTCTTTTCTTCTTGTTGTTATATTAACCATGATGAATCTCAGTCGCTTCCAGGCTGCTTTTTGCAGTGGAAGGAAACACGTCACTTCAGTGAACAAAGCGGCAACAAGAACAGTGCCCCCCACACACGTGAGCCACGGTTGATCCGAACAGGAATTTAGGCATTAGAAAGGAAAGTGGGGTCTGTGGCTGCCACAGAAAGCCAGAATCGGCAGCTCTGCAGCGCTGCTGTTCGCTTGTTTCTGCATGTTGTCGACCCATGCCGCAAAAGCAGGCCTGGATATCAAAAAAGGTTGTTCCAATATTTGCTGGTAGCAATGTTGCATAATAATTAGCCCAGCCTTCCTTTGTCCTTGTAATTGCTATCATTTATATTTCACTGGCCACTCTATTGTTTACTTTGACTTTGGCAGGGGAGGGAACATGGGCCAGTGGCTCAGGTTGCATACATAAGGTAGCAGAGGCCGGGGTCTTGGAACAAAGGCTGCATAAAGGCTGCATAAAGAGCATCATCCTGAAGACTCGGTTCAGCAGCTGCGCTGCAGTCTTTTGTGGTGGATGGCACATAACCAATGAAATGATGGCAATGATGTGCGTATGCACACTTGACTAGGAAAACAAGGGAAATTATGCCTAATATGGTAAAAACAAATCTCTGCATTAAAAAAAAAATCAAGGAAGAATCAACTTTGTCACTTGGATTTTTTTTTAATTCTCAGGGGTACTATCTACAAATAGCACATGAAACAACTGAAAAGTTTAATAGCTGATAGATCATCTAGTATTTAATCACATACCTGGGAAGAGCTAACCACCTGTGTGTGACAGCTGATATTATTCTATAAGCAAGTATAATAATGCAACATATCTGAGATGTTTCAGATGTAAATTGAAGAATTTATTGGACATCATATGCAGATGACAACATATAAGAGGAAACAGACACCAATATTCTTGCCTGGCAGAATAGGAGATGCTCTCTGGTGGATGAACCGATAATTAAGTGGAAGTCTGGCAGTTCCTAAAATATGTTTTGCTAAGCTACTCTGATAAGCACCTTCCAAGAAAAAAATCCTCAGACTGACTCTAGCATATTATACAATTCCTCAAGGAAACTTAAACTGATAGTAATGTTTTATAAAACAGAAGGTGATCCCTTGCTCTACTTTCTGCAGAAAAAAATTGGTTTTTTCTTCTTTTGTGTGTGTGTAATGCTTTAAAACAAAACATATGAAGGCGCTTGAAATTGAAATACCTTTCTAAACATATTTAGAATGTATCAAAATAAAGAGAACTCTGAGAGGCCAGTTAGACATGATAAATGCACATACAAATTGAATCTCAAGCTTTTTTGAGAAAAATGAAGCTCATCTGAAAGCAGTATGGTATTACTTCAGGCAATCTTTATTGTTTAACTAGGAAGATCACAGTGTAGGTTTGGGTTCTAGTCCCCACTCAGTCATGGAGCTCACTGGGTGACTTTGGGTGAGTCACGGACCCTCAGCCCAACCTACCTCACAGGGTTGTTGTTGTGAGGATAGGATGGAGAGGAGGAGGAGGAGAATTATGTCAGCTGCCTTGAGTTCCTTGAGAGGAAAAAATATCTCCTGAGTTCCATCCCTGCACTCTTGACCTTTGCACTGGCTCTAGTAAGATTCAGTTGTGGAAAAAACCAAAGCAACTAGACAGTCTCCATCCTTAAGGAGAAGGAAAGTCTTCCTTAGATCTGCCTCATAAGAAACAATAGACAATTGGGATAAAGAAACAATGCGAGATCATTTTGTAACTATTTCTGAGAATCCATCAGAAGCCAAACCTGAGAATTTCTAACTCCAGTATTTGACCTTGTCACAATGTTAACAAGTAGGTGGCCTTAACAAACCTCTCACACACACATGCATATGCACAAGATAACAGGATATCAAATTTAGGGCCCAATAGGGTTAAAACCAACTGGACCTTTGAAGCTTCTGTTCAAAATGCAAACTTCAGAACTCAGAGAGCAGTAGCCTTGAAAGCTCCAGTGTCTCAGCTATGACATTGCTGCTGTAAGAGCAATTTCAGGAATCCATCCCAGCCTGGACTCCTGGTCTACTTCCATAGCCGAAAGAAATTGAAGAGGCAAACCATTTTTCCAAAAAGAATATAAAAAATATGCAGCAAGCAATTTCTTTTGAATACCAAGGACTGTAAATGAAATGCAGATAGCAGCACAACTCACAAATGAAAATGTTTCTAGCTAGTGAGGCTTTTTAAAGCACCAATGACAACAAGAGTGATACGTTTAAGAAAAACAAAAGATGCTGAATCAGCTCGAAAAGCTTAGAATGGGAAGATGTAATGAAGAGATCAGATTTAGTGGCAAGCTGAATGACTGCATTCCTGGCACAGAGCTTGTACAGCCTCGTATCACAGTTGAGCAGGAGTGGCACCTGCAACAGCTGGTATATCAGCAAGCTCAGAGGAGATAAAAGTGGTACACAATATTTATTGTAGACAGATAAAAGAAGAGAGTGAAGTATGCATTACCCTTCTTGACAGCAACCACAAACGTCCTGGATAAACTATGGAGAAGACTTCTTAAGCCCTGCTTTTTGGAATACTGCCCCAGCAAGCACCAGGGGAGTCTTTAAAAGGAGCGTTTCAAGCACAGCATGCAGTTAAAGGACCATTAAGGAGATCGGATGGGATACGTGTTCCTAGGGAAATGACCACCAAAGCACTTGATGACATCCTAATTACTCCAAAATAGATGAACACCAATTCTAATAAATTAGTTCAGAGGCTTGATATGCAACCTGGCTATCCTTCACTTTGCCTTCACAGAGCAATATGTTCATCCAGTGTTATGGTAGTCGCAAAATCATGCCCGACCCATCACAACCCCATGGACAACATTCCTCCAGGCTCTCCCAGCCTCCACCATCCCCCAGACGATGAAGGCACAATTAAGGCAAATCAAACAATAGTCTGACATTTATAGAAATACAGAGCAGGAGATAAGGCAGATATTTACTCAGCAAACACTAATTCACAGAGTTTAGCATTAACTAACAACTAACAAAACACACTAGCAGGATTCAGCAGAATCACCCTAATAAGGATGCATACATGCGGAAAACCTATTTCTGTTATAAGCTTAAGGATTGGCCTTGCTCAGCACCGATAGATCCTCTGCCCTGATGAGCTTCAACCTTTTCAAAAAAAAGGGGCTTTTTTTTGAAGTGAGCTTATGAATTACTTTCATATGAGTCTGATAAGGTGGGGACTGGACTGTTTATTATATGCAAGCAATAAAAATGTAACCAACTAGCATCAGATACAGACGTTCAATTGGTGTTCAAGGCTACAATTCCATGCTCCCTTACCACTAAGCTCAATAGGAGGTGCTTAGAAGCAGACGCTGGACTGCACAGTATGTTATTTCCCAACAAATCATCACATGAATTTGCCTGGCAGTACAAATCATTAATCGTTTCTGGTTGTAGAGGACTTTTTCCCTCTTTTTGCAAAGCCAATAGTGGTTCACTGATGCAAAACTCCGTTAAGGAGACCTAGAGTAACTTCTGCTTGGCCTGTGCATTTCCCTTGCGGTCTATTTATGTGTGAAGGCAGCAGGTCTGACAAATGTAACTCACAGAGAAGCTGCGCACAATCAGGTGCACGTTAGTGGGGCTGATTCATCCATTGCTGCCACTTGGGATCCTTGCAGGGCTGTAGGTAGTTGTGGAATGGACTGAGCCGGATCGGAAGCAGCGGCTGTGACGAATGGGCCTCAGGGAATGTGGTGCAGGCATCAGCAGAGGAATGCGAGCACAGAGGAGGGCGGGGAGAGGGAACCGGACTTCCGAATCCATCAAGGGAAGTGCAGGATCATACCCTGCCGTGTGTTTGCACGAAGTAAACCATGGAGAAATGCGATTTGCCCAGCCAGGCCGATTCGTTGCCCACAAGGACAGCACGTGGACGGCAGTGCACAAGCAAGGGAGGTCAGCACAGGGGATACCAGGCTACAGACAAACGTCACACCGTTTTCCACTTCAGGTCTTCACATTCAACAACCTTCCTTGTATCTGTGCCTAAATCTACGCACACCAGCTCCAGCCGGCATTTCCATCCCTCCCCCACCCCCAGATAAACCTTGATTATCCACTTACTGCTTACTAAATTACATTAGGGTACAGATGGAAGAAAAAAAGGTTCTTAAAATATCCTAATTAACAGAAAGGGAAAGTTTGTGTTAAAATGAGACTGGCATTTTAGATATGCTGTAGAATGAGAGAACTGGTACACCTAGAGAGAATGCTTAGGTAATCAGAGTACAACCGTTTTTCTATGAATGGGCGAAGTGCTAATTAGACCAAAAGAAATAAAACTGTCATCACGTGGTAAAGGGGTATAAAACAAACCAAACACTAATTGCCATTTCATTGTCAAAGAAACAAGTTTCAAGTGCAGCTCACATGCTAATTCCCCTTTATAAGTAAACACCAGAAATCATAAAGTTTGCACAATTGATTAAATACCAATTAGTGGATAGGTGTGTGCTGTTCCAGAAATATGCCAGGACAATGTACAAAGACAGCGAGGGTCAGGCTGGTGCTACAAGGGCAGAGTCAAATACTCTCCTCGAACAAGGCATTTTGTTAAAATATTTCATAGCCAGACTTAAAGCAGCCATCATGTCTCAAACAAAGACTGCATTAGCTTGTTTTATTAACTTTAAACCTTAAAATGCAAGCTGCATTATTAAGTGGAATTAGTCATATATTAAAAGTAATTGATTTTAACTTACATTCTGCTGCTCGGTATAATCTTGTGCCCATCTCTAAACCAAGTCACTTGTGGTCTGGGGAAGCTTGAGATGTCCGGGAAGTTTAGTACCGTGGCTTGCCCTTCAGACACTGTTTTCCTCTGGTCGACATCTTGGAAATTCCCCATGTCTGCAAAAAAAAAAAAAGTTATACTAAAAAACCCAGGAGTTTCTTCTCCCATGCCATGTTGTCACTTTTTAGGGGTCACAGAGAATAATAATTATGTTTTATAGCAGTCATTGGCACTGTCGCAATTTAGCAGCAAGCTGTAACAGGCCTCGTGCGAGTGCTGAGGATGCAGGTTTGTGGATGTGCAGTGAGGCATGAGGCAAAGCCCAGTGACTCTGGGACATCCAATAAGCGTCTCAGTCAGCACCGCTGCATTTCCTTGAGTAGGCAATTGACTGCTCTCACCAACTGAAAAGGGATATATTTAGTAGCAGATGAATTCCAGAACTTAATTTTATAATATATTAAAGCATTCTAATGTGCATCTAAAGATGATAGCTCTCAACCGAAATTGTGAAATAACAGGCCTTCTATTTGGGACGCAGGCAAGTTAAGGGGGTACCTGAACCATCCGTACTTTAAATCAACCCTCCCTTTCCAATCTGAGCCTTTAAGGCAGCTTAAACTGGAGTTAAAATCCAAATTCTAATGGGCGTTTTAAGCAAAATGGTAGTACCCAATAAAGTGAATTATACATCCAAATATCCATGTTAATAGGATAGACTTAGCTGACACCTTTTTTCTGTTGATATCCCTGTAAAGGAATCCAGTGAAGGGCATCAGAGAAAGACCTCAGTTGCCAGGTAGGTTCATCTGGAAGATGGCAGCCCTTCGGGCAAGCTGGTCCTAGACCTTTACACGTTCATATGTAACCACTGGGACCTCAGCCCAGGAGCTAATAGGCAGCCAGTGAAGATCATTCAATGGCATAATGATGCGAACACTCCTGTGAACTTCCTTGCAAAGGCAGTCTCACATATAATGCACTGCAGCAATTAATCCGCATCACATGGTCCCCACTAGTGCGCCAGCCAAAAGGAACTGCCAGCTAGAGAAGCTGCTTGGCTGTACTGTGAAGATCGCAAAAGCAGATGTAGGCTAGAAAACTGAGCAAGGAGCAAGGTCACTCGGCTAAAACATAGGGCAAGGGCTCAGTTCTACGCCCATCCACCTGGGAGCAAGTCCTGTTGTATTCAGTGGGATTTAGTTCTGTGATGTAGATTTAGAGAGATGAAGGCCTGCAGGATATAGGATGGATAAAGGGGCTGGGAAAAGTAGGAGCATGAACTGAGTGGGCACAGGCTGAAACAGAGAGGGCAGCAGTTCGTGGTTCAGGGCTTGTTGACAATTCCTTTCATCTCGAATGTAGAGGCGTGTGTTCAGTCAGAAAAAAACATTCTTATACATATTTTAACATAGTTTTGTGTAATACATAAAAGGGAAATAAATGGAGGAAAGGTGGTCCATGGGTCTACTCTATCCCGTGACTGAGCTGCAGAAAGAGAAATGGATGGTCCTGCTCAGGAATGACCAGACACTGAAGCAGCCTGGAAAACCATGTCAGTATTTTAAATTGGGCCTTAATAAGCAACCTGACATTTCCAAGAACTAAAATAATTAACACTGTATGGTTCACAAAAGTCCATATCTTTTGTTTACAACTGTAATCAGATTACCTACATTAAAAGAAGTATTGAACCATGCAAGTAGTTCTAATTAACCTTGTTGTTACATCATCAGTTTAGCTTTCACAATTTAGACATTTTCTAATTAAGAATTCCATAGCGAGTCCTATGCAGCCTTGTTTGCATTAATTTTCAGCTAATTTTTTTTTAGTACAATGCTTTACCATTCGAGTTATCTAAGAATTAAAGTTTGTGATGCTTTCCCATGTACATTCTGAAATTAAAGAATTGTATTTTATATTTAATTCATCATAAGTGAGAAGCATTTGGTACATGGGTGCCAGCATCTGGAAGGTAAAGTTATCCTTTAATTTTGGAATTTGTTCCGGATTTGTGTGTGTGTGTTTTTTTTTTTTTTTTTTACTGAAATCAAAGATCCTTCTTACAGTAAAAGAGCTCTGGATATCTTGGGTACACTTCCACAATGAATTCACACCAGCTGAGAGGCAAAGGCCTGCCATGATGGTGGAACAGGGGCTTTTCTGCAGGCAAAAATACGATACTGGAACAGGTAAGAGGGGGTGAGTCTGGGATGAGACGGGCGCCATACCTGCCAAACCACAGGGAAAGCACAGGCTTACACCGGCTCGGAACCTGACAGACGCCTCTTGCCCCCTCCGACTTCCATGGTGCCTGTGCAGCTACAGCGGAGCAGAGGGCACCGGGCAACGTGGCCTCCATCCAGTCGTGGCGGGCTACTGCCAGGGACTCCACACGGGGAGGCAACACCATTCTGGTAGCGGGTGCTGCCGCAGAGGGTCACGCGGCTGGCCAGGCCCCGTTTTGTGCCCTGCACACTTAAGGCTCACCAGGGGCAGTTCTGATGATCCCCCCCCCGCCCCCCCCACCTCGTGCACAAGACAGCCCGTCTCCAGAGGCGGTGGAGCCCCTGTGGAGCTGTTCGCCAACTTTTCCTCGCAAACACCAGGACCAAGCATTGCAGATCACAGGCCGGCTGCTTGCCATACCTGAACGGCACAACAGACAGGGGCAAGATCCATTCTTCTTTCTGTCTTTCTTTCCAACCCACATATCGAATTTGGCTTAGAAACCGCTTCGGTGTTACCTTCAAGATTACACAAGTCCTTGAAATGCAATCTTAACTTGGACTTGGGTAGTATAGAGTCTCCCAAAGTCTCTTTCTTAATAATGCGCATGCAAGCAGTAATATACTGCTCTTTCAATGCAGAAAGTGATGTGATTTCAGAAGAAGTCCTGTCCCACCCTCAGGAACTGCTCAGTGGAGATCTGTTCACAGGGGCTGAAAGATCAGGAGCAAGCCCTGAAGTTGGCTTCAGAGTCTGGCTCAGAGGAACCCTCTTGCCAGTGGTCACTCGCCACGGCCCGCATATTGCTTCACGGAGATCAAGAGTGATGGGAATTCGTGCTCCCGAAGGAGGGCAGACTGAGAAGAGTCCTGGTCATGCTTGCATTAGCCCTGCTTAATGTTGGCTAAATCATGTAAAGCAGTACTGCAAAATTAAATATTTCACAGTCCAAAAAACTTTTTAAACCAGTCAGTGTCGCATGGCATCTGCAAAACAGACATTAAATAACAGCTGAAAGAGTCAATGTCTGCTGGACCAATTTGTGCAGCATTACACACTATTATTCTTGATGCTAATATTAAGCTGCAGGAAAAATAAATTCAGCACATTTCCCTCACGGTACCTCTCTTCTCCATTTAATCACTTCCTTGTAAATGGTCATGTCTAATAAAGAATTCCATTCACCCACTTCATCTTCCTGCCATTTATCAAATGACAGCCACTGTTGCTGACCTTCCAGTTAAGTGCCCTGAGGAACAATAATCAAAGTCTCAGACAGAGACGTGTAGTGTATAAACAAATGGTGAACTTCATCTTAACTTGGGAGATTTCTACTTGTCTTCTCCCCGGGCAGTCACGGCAGAGCTTCCCACCAACAGAAAGGTAAAACAGAAGATGCCTTCAGTTCTACAGAAAGGACTCTTCCCCAGTAAGAATGGAAGTTTGACTTATGAGTTCCTGACACAATTTATTAAGAATGTATTCCGTTTTGATGCTCCTAATTGGAAAAATTAACATGGTTTACATTAGTTTTATAAGTTGCTGACAAGCTTATGCTGAGTCTAGGTGCTAGCAGGGAGCCTATGGCAGAGCCCTGGACCCGTTCTTGACAAGCCATGTGTGAGGAGCCCAGTCTGGGGATGGAAATCTGGAGTTCCCCAGCCCCCAGCCCACTTCCTCTCGGCCTGAGGTCTGCCTTGCACTGGCTGTTTGTGTGGGCAGCCGGTGCGAGGCAAGTGAGCTGGCTCATTTGGCCCCAGAGCACAGATCATGGAGTGTTTGTCAACTAAAGCATGAACATGCGGGCGTGAGCAGGCTGAAACGACACGGCAACTTGCCCCTCCTGTTCAGATGTTCTGTATGTTTATATTTAGCATCTTCCAAAGCCCTGCCCTTCACATTAAAGAGTGCCAGCTCAGGCTAAAACCTTTTTATTTCCCCAATGTGTTAAGGTTGGACTGTTTTTAATATGGGCTTTATTGCTGATTGGTTAAGAATTTGGTTAGGATGCTGTGTTTTGTTTTAGTTTGTCTTGTTGTTAAACTGCCCCAAGACCACGGTAAGGGACGGCCTAAAAGAATTTTAAATAAATACATACATACTCATCTTAGTGGTCTTCAGCTTGCAAAAATATGAATTAAAAACTTTCTGCATTGTCCATTATGTATTCTTAGAAGCTGAAAAGATGGCCAGATAGAAGTACTCACCCTGTGATACGGATTCTCTGCATGGCAGCCAACCTGGTAGCCTCTCGGCGTGCTGGGCAGCAACTCCAATAGTCCCTAAAGTGCTAGCCCAAAGTGGCTAGAGGAGACTGGGCTGCCTTATTCTCACTCTAGAAAGCCTGGAAGTTGTGTAACTGCTTTGGGAGATAATAGGACAGGCCTAGGCTAATCGGCAGAACGGCTATATCATTATCTGCACAAAAGATGCCTGCTGCATTTTGATTAAGAAATGTTTGAATAAATGCCTTTCACACATACATGCCACTTGAACTTCTGATTTTCTTTGCATGAGTGCCCCCATTCTGTTCCTCACAACGCACTGATAAAAACCAGCATCAGATCTTTGCAAGGATGGAATAACATACCTGTAAGACAGAAAAAGACACAATGGTTACAACATATGCTAGAAGTTCGTATCTGTTCTCAAAAACAGTTCGAGCTGAAAAAAAACATGTCTCGGCTTCTCAAAAAGTTTTAAAACTTTCCCAAAGCTTATTCGAACCTCTGCAATGCGTCCTTCCACGTGATTATCAGTCCTCGTTTTTTGTATGATTCTGCCCCCTATGCTATACCACGTGGTGTAGGCAAGAAAAACTTAATATGAATAACATCATTCAGCTTGAAGAGCCATTTACGAATAGATTGAATTTCACATTTCACCTAGTACTGACATATTTCAGCATTTTCTACCACTCAACACTGCTTCATCTGTAAGGCAAGAAAGTTAATTTCTTGCGGTGACAAAAAGCAAAACAGAAATCTATGGGCTGATGTTGGAAAAGATGTTTGGCGACATCAAATCTCTGCTTCTGAAGTCTTTTTAAAAATGTACATTGCGTAATCAACTGAACTCATAAAAGTAGTGGAAGTAGATAAAGTGCTCTGCATTTTGCCGAGATGACTAGGAAACGATCGCTGTGGTGATTACCACTCTCCCTTTCTATTAATAGGCACCCACAAACCAGCCAGTTCCTCCTTTTTTCCACCTGCTTTTAAATTCTCTTCTCTAGGAGTGCCCAAAAATGTTCAGAAAGCTGAAAGCAGTTTTCTAGGGCCATCTTTCAGTACACATCTTTAATTTTAACTTCCTGCCCTGACCTCTGGTTAAACCATTCTGCATGTATTTTTATGACACCTCAGTCTATGCTCTGGAAAAGCCCAAAAATCAGAATATCAAGGCCTTCTGCAATAACAAATTTTGGTAGGATTGACATAAGTTTAAATTGTGAGTATCACATCCTTTTGAGGTCCAGTGCAATTTTAGGAACAGTTCTGAATTCTGCTTTTTGCTTAAATACATGAAAGGATGGGCCCAAAGGAGCCCTAGCAGACATGCCCAGAACAGGTTCATTTGTAAATAATGCATTTCCATTCATTCATTGCTTCAAACCCAATTATGAACAAGTCAAGAAACCTTAAAAAATGGATCAATTGCAGGTTAAAAAATTGAGACAGCTGAACAAACGATAGCAGGAGATACAGTGCTCACAATTTAAAGGCTTAGGATAGAAAAAGGGGTTTTTCCCCTGGCAACTCAAGCTCATTAGATTGGGTAATGAGTGTTGCTGAAGAAAGCCTTCCTATGCTGAGGTCCACAGCAAAGCAGAGCCCTTTCTCAGCCCCTGCATCGCCTCCAAGTGTAGCCCACTCAGCGTAGTCTCAGAGCCCACCCCAGAATTCTAAGAACGCCTCCAAGTGCTCCCCTGGCCCACCTTCTCACCACCAGATGCTGCAGCCATTTTTGCCTTGTGCTCCCTTTGCCTGCTGGCCAGGCAGAAAGCCACACGGTGGGCATGCAGGCAGGGGCATCCGTCTCCCCACGCCCGCCACGTCCTGGGCAGCAGCAAGGCAGGCGAAGAAGCAGGTTGTAATGAGGAGGAGGATGGAGTCACACCAGTGGCTCCAGCTGGTGTCGAGGCCCTTGGCTGGTGCTTGACTTCAGCTAAGCCTTGATACCAGCCCTGGGAAGAACATCCGCAGAAGGAACTCAGAGGACAACTTCAGCGCCAGTGAGTTTTCTGTCAGAGCAAGGGGCTCTTAAGGTACCTGAGACGGAAGTGCAGCTGTTACTACTGCATATTGCGCTAACACGTTGCTTAGCCCTTTGGTTGTCCCGCCTCCTTCATTATATTGTTGATTGTACATTCTGCTCATGAGAACACACGGCTCCTCAGGTGCTCGCCTATTCAGGCAACTCTGCATGTGGGCCCTGCTCTGCCGCGACCATGTTAGCAACCTCAAGGGTTCTCGGAGCATTGTTTCAGCGCATGAACTATTGTGCGACTATTGTATCGATAGCTTTGAAAATGACGAGGCTGTGATTATCCTAAGCATTATATGCTAGCTTATCCCCCGAAGCTAGCCATCTTTCTTGCCTAGTAACAGAAGAATCATTCAGCATGCAAGAGACGGAAAGGCACTTTTATTGTCTGCATGCCAGAAGGGCACTTAAAGTTCCTGCAGAACTGAGAAAGTAATTCAGGAAAATTGACAATTTGTTTGGAGTGGAGTAGCCCAGGAGAAACTGGCTGCTGAAGAAAGGCCAAGGCAGGAGGAGGACGGTGCATCAACACATGAAAATACCAGTGAAAACCGTGTCAGCCCTTTTCTTCCTGCACTCAGGGCCTGGAGTAAGGCTGCCAGCAGCTGAGTGTCTGCATCCGTGCTGTGGCTTTATGCAGGTGTCCAAACTGGGATGCATTTTCCGTTAGGGGATGGCATCTCCATTATGGACAGCCAACGTGAAGTTGCTTCATACCGAGTCAGAGGATTTAGTCCAGCACCTGCCTGCGCAGATTTGCAACAGCTTTCCTGCGTGTGCAGCAACAGTCTTTTCAATGCCCTGCTACGCGACTGTTTAACTAGCAGTGCCAGGCTTTGGCCCGAGTCCTAAAGAACTGGCACTAGACCTCTGCCCCTGAGCTATGGCCTGACCGAGCAATTCCTGGATGCTCAAGAGCAGAGCTTGCTGCACTTCCTTCAGTGCCAGCAGATGCTCCACACTTAACATCCTAAATATGGGCAAGAAGCATGTGTCGGCGTCTGCTGGTGTGGAACACTTGCATGAGTATCGCAGTTCAGCAGCATGGACTGCAAAGCGTAGGGATTATGGCTACGCTCTGGAATTTTAAATCCATTTGCAAGTATTCAGACTGGAGGAGAAATCCTTCTCATGAGGAGAACAGCATGCTCTCAGTCCACAAATTTCTCTTGTATCAGCCCACATGACACACACACACACACACACGTTGCCTTTTCACAAAATCCAAAGACGTATGCGGTGGACAAGCAAGATTAGCCACGCCCTTTTCCTGCTTCCAGATAACATTTGTAACAGGAAAAGCATTTATATAACTATATCTTCATCAATTGTATTTCAGTGTACACCATTCAGGAAGACACAGCAGGTCACCAAAACTGCAAATCGTTATCACAATGACTACTAGAGTAATTCCCCTCATCACAACTAAATAACACAACAATAAGGCTACACATTTTGACCATATCAACTGAGGATTTTGGGTGGGAACCCCCAAGTTCTTTCTTTCCCTCCTAATGCCAACCCAATGTGAAAATTTACCAACTCATTGGCTATTGATAAAACAAAGGCAGGCCCCTTGACTCATGTCAAGTCACGGCAGCACCAGGACAAGGCTGATCGAACCGAATCTGTGAAGACGTGTCGTAAAAGCCTACTAGGTTTTCATAGTTATATGAAAGGAATCTGGTTTGGGGGTAGGAATCCATTAATTTCCTTATCTCTGCACCCTGGATTCTGGCCCACTTTGCCCTCAGCCCTCAGCCCACCCTGCGTCAAGTATTGGCATCTGGGAACAGGCAAGGGCACGAGAGTCTGCGAAGACAGCTTGTGTACATGTTGTTGCCCAGGCACCCACTCGGCAAGCAGAGTTCTGCTTCTGCTTGTCCAAAGAACTGCATATGTTGTGTTCTCTGCAGAAAGAAGGGGTCTGCCAGTGTTCCCAGGTACTCATGACTTGTCCTCGGCTTGGCTTGCTTCCTGGCCAGAGCAGAGCATGGGAAAGAAGGTTGGGGAGCACAAGTGAGCTGCATTCTGGGTAGATCTTTGCATCCTTCAATTTTCCTCTCCCTGTCGGATTCCTCAAACATCCCTAGTTTATACTGGCTTGTACAGATGTAGAAAAAAAACCCAGATATTTTGCCATGCTACTTGTCTACAAGATGAGACTAAGGTCAAATTTAGCGCAACATCCTTAAGCCAAAAACAAATATAGTTTTGTTTGCAGTGATTTCATTCTAATGAATAAATGCAATTCCCTGCATATAAATTCAAAAACATGCCAAGTGCATCTTGGTTTGTGGCAAGCAATTAAAAATAAATAATAGACCTGAAATATTCATAGTAACATATTTATTCAGACTGTATTGTTTATGTTGATTAGCTTTCCATGCACATTCTGTGAGAGAAGATAAATGCTTCAAGGGTTTGAAATAAGTTAATCAAACTCTAAACAAAATAAATATGCCTTTCATCGAGGCCAAGGAACCTATATATTATATGTTGCCCTAACAAAAGTACGTAAGTTATGGTTCCTCATCATATCCATATAGGGGCAACATGTAAGAATATACCACTGCTTTTCTATTGTAAAAATTATACTGTGTGTCACTGCATAATATCCTTTAAGAGGTATGCAGATACATATTTCTGTATCATTTCATCTCTAGGTATCTGTAGTTCTCATTCTCCCTTTGCATAGTTGGTTTCCAGTGTGTGTGTGTGTGTGTGTGTTTGCTACTGACTGACTGCAGCGGGGCATGCCCTGTTGATCAAACTGGCATGCGTGCTTTCTTTTGTGGTTAATCAACTCTCTTGCGTAGTTAATCAACCATCTTCCCTTGAAATGCCATTTTAAATCTCAGTTTCCATGCACAGAGTACCACATTCTGCAGTGGACAAATGGAAAAAAGGAATGCCTCTCGAGGGTCCAAAGCGCACCACAGACGGGGCGACTTATCCGCGATGGAGCCGTATTTATGGAAGGGCCGACCCGACTGAATGGATTACACTGGAAAAGCCACTCAACACAATGCCACTCTGGCAACCCATTTCCAAAAACAGCGCACACATTATAGCAGGGACAAAACAGCCTTTTGTGCAGGGGGAAAAGTGCGACTCCAACCAGGAGGCAATCTAGCAGCACTGCATTACCACATGCAGGGCAAAGTGGTGCTTTTCAGGTACCCCCGTCTTCCATTGTGCTTGCAGGTTCATTTCTGCAGCCTGGGCTCACATCCCTAGGTTTCTGCGAACAAATTAGGCTGTTATGCTGGAGTGGCACATTTGTGGTTCCCGCTTGATTTCTGCTTTATAAAGTTAATTGTGTGTGTGTTCAGGAGGGGGGATTTTAATTGAAGCTTTGGGGATAGTAAAGCCAAATCCTTTTCTCCAAGGCATCAAGTCCCCATAACCAAATCGTTTCCTCCAGGAAGAGCTGCTGTGCATAGAGAAAAACACTGGTAGGCAGGGACATATAAGTCCCCCGCCCCAGCTGCTATTAGAGGCTTTGTGAGGGTTGAGGGAGGTCTATCTAGAACAGGGTTTCCCATGGAGCAAGGGGATTATTTCCCCCTTTCCCATCTGGGGGACATGCCTCATTGACAAAGTAACAATAAAAGCTTACATTGGGTTACAAGTAAAACTTATTTGATTATTCGAAATATTTCTAAGCTGGCTCATAAGATATTTCACAGCACAAGTCTTAATTAACTACCGCATTTGCCCATGTTCTGTTCATTTATGGTGCAATGTAGCATTAATCTACATGCTGAAAGCCACTTACTTGTATTCACTGGAGAAGGCAGTGGCTTCCACGTCATTATGCAGCCACTTAAACTCCAAAGGCCAACTCCCTTCTGCCAAGCATGTGAGCACGAGACGGTTCCCTTCCAGGTGAATCTGAGGCAAACCTGGTTCTGTCTTGAAATAGGGTGCAACATCATCTGAAATACGATGGGGGGGGGGGGAATGGAGTCAAAACAAAATTAAGAGATGAAGTTACAAAATTGCTCTGTTCCATGAGAAACCAGTTAATTATTGGGACATATAGTAAAGCCACTGCGACATAGCAAATAGTACTCGTTTGGATGTAGCTGTTCTAGACTTTATGAAGCTGAGATATTTGATGCTAGCCTCTTCTGCTACTTAGATTCACAGGAGTTAAATCCAGTTCATTAAATTCTCTTTAGAAAGTTAGAAAAGTAAGCCTGGATGAAATGATTATCACAGCAGGATATGGCTCAGGATAAATGAAGAATTTTGATAGCAGCTCTGAACAAAACATCGTCCAGAACAGCAAGATTAATGTGTCTTTCAACATTGTCTTTAACCAGATGGTCTTAAAATTACATTTAAAAACACTCTGGGGTTTGAATGAGAGAGTTTTTAATAGTGTGCAAGTGTCAGATATAGTTTTGAAACTATCATCAGCCTGTGGATCAAAATTGCTAACAAGATTCCATGATAGGAAAGCACAAGCAGCAACTGGAGAGTCATTCCTAAAATGACTAAACTGTGGAAGGCAGAAATTGCAATATTTACTCATCCTGTACCTTGGTCCCATTTCCTTATGCATCAATAGGAATAGGATCTAGCCAACTTCATGATTCGGTCAAGACCCTCTTATTATAATGTCAGCCTTCCCAGACAAGATCTCCAACCAACTCAATTTGTTAAAATCAATCACAGCGTTCCATTTATTACATTTCTATATTGCCAATGTTCTCTAGGTGGTTTTGCCAAGATTAAGCTTCTTCAATACTGCAGCATTATGCACTTTACAGAATGTTGTATTTTTATGTTTGTAACTAAACTAGGCAGAGGTGCACATGCACACAGAGCTTTGTCGGTCGGGCGGTAAAGAAAGATAAATGCCAAACAATATCACACCAGCTAATTAAAAACTATGATATGCTGCTGAATGCCTGGAAGTGGTAGAAAGTCTTAACCTGGCTCTGAAAAGATAAAAATTAATGGCAGTGTCAGGCGGGCCTTGCTAGGGAGGTCACTGCATAATTGAAAAGGCCCTCCCCCTTGCTGACACCATCTGAGCTTCCTTTGGAGAAGGCACCTGAAGATGACCTTAGACAGCAAGCACACTGCACAGGTAAGCTCATTCACCAGGTATGTCATTCCCAAGCCACACAGACTTTAAAGCATCTTCAGTCCGGCTCAGGAGCACCGCATGGTACCAGGTCAGAATCCGTGATACACATTCAGACTCTGGCGCCTGTTATCAATCTAGCTGCCACGTTTTGTACAAGTTACAGCTTCTGGGCTACCCCATGCAGCACGTAGTACAGAAATGGCTCTTTTAAATCTATATTTTTAACTTTGGGATGCTGTGAGCTTTGCTCAGTTGTTATGAGGAAGCTGGTTTTTATTTTTTTAGCTTTATGTTGCATTTCGAATATAAATCATTTTGGTGTTTCTTGTACACTGCCTAGAGAACTTTATAGGGCAGTGTGCACACATCTTCAATCAAATAAAGGCAAATAATGCAGAATAGTTAGTTACGCATGAGCCTTTCAAAATCAGTGAAGCAGACACATGAAATCCTTTACAAGTACCTAAAGGAGTTCACTTGATTGCGGTCTTTGTTCCTGACTTTGGGGCCAATTTGCACTACAAACCTCAACAGCTTTTAAACTGGTTCATTTGGCTTGCCTTCTCCCCAAGGAACATTGCAAGTTATAATGCTTGGATACTCGGATCTTGTTACACTTTTCTCCATCCTCCTCCTCCTCATTTCCTCCTATGGGGTCCTGGCTTGCCTTTGTAGTACTAATAACCTTGGAAATAGGTCTCTGACATAGCTCCAAAAAAATGCTTAATTACATTTATATTAACACATTTATATTAAAATGCAAAGCACATTTTTGCATTCCATATGAAAAGGATGCACAATAAAAACTGAATATGATATTTTGGTAACTCATAGATATACAATGTTATCATATATGCCTGCTGAATATTTGAAATGTGGGGTGAGCAATCAGTAGTGAATCTGTTTCTGTGAGTTTCCCATAAGCAGCTGGCTGGCCGGCAAGTGAGGAGGATGCTAGAATAGATGGTCTGATCCAACATGATTTTCGTTTGTGCTGTTCTTGTCACCCTAGTCAGGTTTGGTCATAAAGATACTGAATTGGGCATTTCTCTGGTCCAGAACTTGTGTAGCAAGCCTGCGCCGGAAGGAAATGCACTGGGAATGCTCCTTGATCTAGCTTAGCTTAGTGACTGGAGGCCCAGAATACCTTTGCTCCGCTTGGCAAAATACCCAGAATACCTTTGCTCCACTTCCCAGCCCTGCTCTGGAAGCCTCTCCTTTGGATTATTCTAACGCACTTCATGTGGGACTGCCCGTGAAACCAAACCGGAAACTAGAAGTGGCACAAACGCAGGGGACAGGAATGGCTGCCTGGTGTCATATAGCAACCACCCTGACAGAGCTGCATTGGGTGCCTATCTGTTTCTGCGTCAAATTCAAGGTGCTGGAGTTCAATTTAAAAATGCAAAGCATGTAAAACAGAAGGAACAAAGTCAAATATCCCAGTGATAACTTATGCACAGCCTCCTTTTTCAAGAAAACAAGGATTTGCTCCCAAAGAAACAGGGATGGGAGAGAGGCCCTGAGATCTTGTTTTAGGGTGTCTGGAGGAGTGACTGGACCTTGATTCAAACAGGAAAGATGGGGTGCAGACACATGCCCTCAGTTTCAGACTTCCCCATTTAAATCCCATGCCGCCCTCCCTGCCAGCCAGATTGGCATGGGAGGTACAAAGGCAGTTCAGTGCTGCTCCACCCCAGATCCTGAAACGAGTACAGGAAGTGCCCACACACATGCACACGCATAAAAGTTTGTGCGTGCGTGCATGTGTACACACACGAGTGCCATCTCCATTGCTCAGCCTTGCGCTAGAGATCTGTGCTAAATGAACCAAGTCCCGTCTGCCAGAACCGTGGAGAGACAGAAGCAGCTTTGGATGAGGAGGGAGCAAAGCCCGAGAAAAGAATTACTGCGAAATAGGCTCCTCGGTCCTGGCGATGTCGCTTCTGACAGAAGTAGTGGGCAGGTTGAGATCGAGAGGGGGACGTTGCAAATGTGAGAACGTGGAGCACAGAGCAGGCAATCTGGAGTTTTAAAGCATGCTCTTTGAAGCGGAGGACAGCGTGTGGGCACTAAATGGAGAACTGTGTATCCTGCAGGCTTCATCCACTCTCAGAGAGAATTCTGGCGTCACTGAAGCCTGTGGCAAAACTTCCACTGATATGAAAGAAGTGCTGGCTCTACTGTTTTTCTTTAAAACGACCAGATGAGTGTCTGGCTGCTTTTTAAAAACAAAAACAAAAACAAAACCAAGACTCCCCATACTGTGTTTTCGCACTACAGAGAAAAGGTCATAAACATTTTATATAACTTAATTATGAACAGTTTGCATGCTGTAGCCTATCAGCGAGTGAGTAAAGTTTGCCCCAGGGTACTCTCAAATCAGTGGGAATTACCAGCAAGTGTGAAAGGCAGTTGTAGAATAAATCCACTAGTCCACTTCCCCCCAACCCCACGCCCTTAGGAAACTATTGAGCTGAGCTATTAATGAAACTGATGTCTAGAAACCAAATATTTACCCTAATTACCGCTTTGTACCCATTTTCATTAGTTTACATCAACACCCACATTAATAGAAAGATAATACCAGTTGGGGGATATTTTCTTGTCGCTTCTTTCTGGCACAAACTTTTCCCCATTTTCTTTTACTGTTCTCTACCCAATAACTCTTACATGCCACTAAGCTGCTGCTAACAACTTTGGATATCCCAGTCTTTGCATCTCAGCTTTTTTTTTAAGTGTAATACATACAGGCTACTGACTGAGCCATCCTACAGCCCCTGAAACAGCACCCCAGAAACCATCCCTGAGCAACTGTGCAACATCTGTTCCTGCCACTGGATAGCAGTATGAAGTCTCTTGATCGGACAGATCTGGTGCAAGTACAAGGAGCCCGGGCTCCTGTCTTTGGATCACGACAAGCCAGCAACCCTGGGGCTCTTGATCCGATTCCAGCATGGCTATCTGTCCCCGTGGCCTCTCCGGAGCTGAGTATGGCCACCATGGGCGAGTTCGTGGCATAGCAACATCTGGAACTCTAGGTGGGCTCAGAATCTGAATGACCTATGCCAGGGAAGGTATCCTGCAGCTGTCCAACCGTTTTTAGATTCCAGCTCCCATCATCACTGGCTATGCTGACAAGAGTTGGAAACCAACATCTTCTGGAGGGCTTCGGGCTACCCACCCCAATCTAAGCTTTTAGGATGCTGGAGACTAACTTCTATAAATCAAGCAGCACAGTAAGAAAATGAATCTCAAAATTCAATCTTCTTGGAAGCTAAAATTTAATAGACCTACTAGAGGATTCATAAAATAATACAGAGTAGATTATAGAATACCCTGATGTTCTGTGAGATTTATTTTAAACCATGAAATTTTACCTTTTTCGACTTTGATTTTTACAATCATAAACCATCAGTGTATAACCAACTAATCAAACACACTAATGTTTGCTTGAAACAAACTGAAAATATAAATACTGAGCAAGATGTCAGCCTGAAAAGGTTGTCTGCCATGACAATTCTGAATTCCTATTCTTCCTATGGCTGTTTATTAACAACCTTTTAAAGATTGCTTATAAAGTATTTAACCTTTCTCTGTACATACTTTACACATACCTTTACTTCTGGAAGCAAAACAGCTACATTAATCAATGGAAGTATTTGGTATGGAACACTTCTATTTCCCAAGGTAGCAACTGTAGGAGATGAAATTTTGGCACTTGAAATAGCAGACATACTCGTAATGGTTTTTAATTCCCAAGCAGAATTTTGAATTTGGTTCAGGAATGCTTTATCATCACATAAATGCTTGCTGTTGATCCTAGATATTTGTGAT